TTATATGTGGATTCCATATCTGCAAATTTGCCTACTTGCTGAAATTTGCTTGTTACCCCCAAGTCAATGCTTGTGAGAAACCATCTCTGCTGACACCCTGAACTTGGACTTCCAGCCTCCAGAACTGTGAGACAATAAATCTCTGTTTGACTCTTTCCTGTCATAGGCCTTCCTCACAGTGCATCCAGGGAAGAGGGTATCCTGGCCAGGGGAAGACCTGCCACCTGGGCTGGCCCGGGGTCCTCCAGCAGGGAGACAAGGCCCCACACCTGCTGCTGGTGGTGAAACCTGGGTGAAGCCCCACCTCTGCCTCTCTCTTGCTGTGTCACTGGGGAAGGCACAGAAACCTCCCTGAGCCTCACTCATTCTGACTGTAACATGGGCTGATGCTTTAATCTGCTCTGCCATCTCCTGGGGTTAGTGTGAGGGTGAAACAGCATAGTGGAGAGTGAAAGCCCATCATTAAGCAATTCACTAACAATTTAATTATTCATTATCCAGTGTTTCATGAAGCCTCATGAAGACGATTCATGCTCAACTGCAGCCCCCCAGGAGCCCTCACTGTGAGGTGTAGACTGACAGGGACACACCACCCAGGTCTGTACTCTCCCACCTTCACCTGCTCATCCATCATCCATTTATCCAATAAACATTACCTGAGCCTCTGGGTGCCAGGGGCTGGAGACCCAGAGATGAACCAGACCGGTCCCCGCCCTGGGGGATCGGCCTCCTTTAAAGCCTCACACACAGGGAAATGTTAATTATTATTTTGGGTTATAATTACAGCAGTGCTACAAAGGAGCCAGCCAGCTTTGGTAAAGTATGGGCTAACCTTGCTGCCAAAGAAATCCTCACCCTCGGGCCAAGAAAGTAGGGTGAGAACCACTTTCCCTCAATCCTTGTTTACTGTTGTACCAGGCAAGCCCCAAGCTGGGAGTTGGCAACAACTGGGCCTCTGTTATTGAGTTACTCACCAGAGGGTGGGGTTGACACAAAAAATAGGCCAGGCACAAGGTGGAGAGAGAAGGGACACCTCAGGAGTTCAGATGAGGCCCTTTGTCCGGGTTGATTGGGGTGGAAGTGGTCTGGGAAGTCTTCATGGAAGAGGTGGCATCTGAACTGATCACTGAGGGATATACAATATTAGCAGATGAAGAAGTGGAGGGAGGATATCCAGGGAGTCACTCCTTCATCCCACTCCTCCCCAATGTTTATGATGCACTTAAACACTGAACACAAAGTAGTGGAGGGAAGATACTGCACAAATCGGCAAGGTGATGTTACCTAAAGGGCTACTTAACTTGTGGGGTTCAGAGCAGAATGAAAATGCAGAACCCCATGTTGGGGAAAAAAAAGTGTTAAGAATTTCACGATCTCACAGAAGAGCATTAAACTCAGCGTGGGGCCCCGTGTGACTGTCCAGGCTGCAGTCCCATGAAACTGGCCCTGGATATGTGTGTGACTTTGTTACTTCTGGTTTCGACTTGACTTGAAAAGCCTTGAGGGGACTTATTATTTCATGTAAAGGGAAGTCTGGAGGTAGGGGCACTTCAGCGAGGATGTGTTAATTCTGCAGTTCATTGGTGCCAGGAAGGACCCGATTCCTCCATTGCCCTCTCCTCCCTCCCATCCTATGTGGAATCTCTAAAGATCACCTCTATGGCAGCCTGGTGACTGCCACAGTGTAGTGTCACCCACAGACAGGACAATGCAGAAGGATACCTATTACTGTCCACCTCTTGTTTAAGAAGTGGGGAGACCTCTTCTGGGGATACCCCACCAATCTTCATTCACACTCATTATCCAGAACCGTGTCCCACCTGAGCCTCAGCCAGTCACTAGCAAGAAAGGGAGCCTCACGATGGGCTTAGGCCAATAGGCACAACCCCTAATCAGGTCCTCATTGTTCCCCTAGGATCTGAGGGCTAGATCATCTCCATTTCAGATGAAGACACTAATTAACCAATTTGCCCAGGGTGTCACAGTTGGGGGTGTTGGGTGGCAGTCTGAACCCTGACACACCGCTGTGTTTTTCTCTAAACTCAGGTTGGACAAGGATTCTGTATGTGTCTGTCCAGCATGTGTCTCATAACAGGGACAAGCACACTTGAATGGAACATTGTGTGGTAAAATCAGCAGTTTTCATTACAGGGTGGGGTGGTGCTGGAGGGGTCAACTTTGCATCTGGGTTGGGCTTGCTTTTCTTAGTTCTCAGCTGTAGGTCAAGTAAAGAATAGCTAATGCTTATCGACTGCTTCCTCTCTGCCAGGCAGTGTTCTAGGTGCTTTGCATGTACTCACTCAGGAACCCTGGCAAGAGCCCTGTGGTTACTATTCTGATGGGCCGCCCATGCATGGACACACGTGAGCAACCATCAGAATCCCTGGGGGCCTTGTCAAAGTTCAGGGGCCACCCGGGTGCCTGATGCAGTGGGTTTCAGGTGGGGGCCGGGATTTGCATTTCTAACAGGTTTCCAGGTGATGATGCTCTGGGTCCTTGACTTTGAGAATTGTTGTTAGAGCCTGTCAGGACAACATGGTTATGAAGGGGAGTGGTGTTCGGCTGAGGGTGGGGGCAAACCTTTTACCCTACCCTCTGGGCACCCAGCCAAGCAGTATATGGAGGCTGAACTCACCTCCCGATCTACCTGTTGAGCCCCATGCCCTGCTCAGGGGCACCCTTTTCTAATTTGCACAATGGCACATATAAGCTAGAGGAATCCTGGGTCCAAAGGGGTGCGATTATATGTTTGCACGGGAGGGTTTTAAACAAAAGAGTGACATGATCCTATTAAGTTTTAAGAACAGCTATCTGATGAATGGATACACAAAATGGGGTCCATCCACACAATGGAATATAATTTAGTCTTTATTATTATTAAGTCCTTTATTATTCTGACACCTGGTACAGTATGGATGAACCGGGAGGACATGATGAGAAGTGAACTAAGCCAGTCACTAAAAGACAAATACTGTGTGATTCCACCTATAGGCGGTACCTAGAGTTGTCAAACTCATGGTCAGAAACTAGAATGGTGGTTGCCAGGGGCTAGGGAAGGGAGGAGTTAGGAAGTCAGTGTTTAATGCAGTTTCAGTGTTGTAAGATTAGAAAGTTCTGGAGAGGATGATGGTGATGGCTGCACAACAATGTGAACGTACTTAATGCCACTGAACTGGACACTTAAAAACTGACAAAATGGTAAATTTTATGTCATGTATATTTTATCACAATTAGGAGAAAAAGATCCCTCTGGCTACTGTGAGAAGGCACTGGACCTGTGTGCTTGTTCAGGCGAGAGTCATGGGAACTGAGACCAGGTGACAGGGTAAAGAGCAGGGGTCAAAATACACAAACAAACACAACAGACTCATACTGAGAACATTTTGATGGTGGTCAGATGGGAAGGGGATTGGAGGACTGGGTGAAGAAAGTACTAATTGGTAATTACAAAACAGTCATGGGAATGTCAAGTACAACACTGGGAATATAGTCAATACTATTGTAAGAACTATGTGCTGTGTCACATGTGTATTAGACTTATGCAGAATCACTTCGTAAGGTATATAAATGCTGAATCATATACTGTATACCTGTAACTAAAATACCGCATTTCCTCATGTATAAGACACACCGATTTCCGAAAAATTTGGGGTCTAAAAACTGGGTGCGTGTTATACAGTGGTTGTAGATTTCTTTTACTTGCATTTTCCGCTTTTTTCACGCTTGTTTTTGCGCTCATACAACCACTGTATAAGACGCACCCAGATTTTAGACCCCAAATTTCTCTAAAAACGGTGCGTCTTATATATGGGGAAATGCGGTAATATGTCAACCGTTAAAAAAAAAAGTCCAAGTGGAGACATCAAGTGGGCAATTGGATGCGAGGGGGAACAAGATCAGCAGGTTCTTGGAGCAGGAAAGAGGCCGCCGTGGCTGGAACAAATTAGGCAAAAGGGGAGTGGGCAGAGAAGTGGCCGGAGTAGGGGTGGCCACAGCAAAGCGGCTGGATTTCTGGAGCAGGAAGCTCTGACTCAGTCAATAACCGCTTGTGAAACCCGAAAGTTACTGTCCACTAGAGGAGTACTTGTTAGGTGCCAGCCACTGTCACACTGTCTCACACCAGTCGGGGCGTGGAAGTGGGGGCGGGGTGTCTCATTCTCAACTTCAATGTACAGATGAGAAAAGGCGGGGATGTAGACGGGGGATGATTTCTCCAGGTTCACGCGGCCTGGGTGAGCAGTCCACAGGCCTGGAACCAGCTGGATCTGGAGCTGTAATCCATCTCTCGGATTCCTTCCTGCTCTAAAAACAAATATGCGTCCCATTTCTGAGATGGGGAAACTATGGCAATCGCCATGTCCAATGGCGGTACATGAAGGACGTATGACAGGTGGTACCATCCCCCGATTCACAGAGGGTAAACTGAGGCCAGAGACTTGTGTGTCAGGATCACATAGACAGAGCCGAACCAGGGCACCTGGGTCACGTCCAGACCCTGCAATAACCTGGGACCTTGTTAGTTCGGCCAGGTGGGGGAAGGGTGAAAGGCGACCCACTGTCAAAGAGACGCATCCTGCAGGCTCCGATTGGCGCAGAACTCTGGTCCTGGCCCCTCCTCCTCGCCTGCCGGTTCCTCGGGTCCAGGGGCCCATTTCCCGAGTGCCTGGCAGCGCCTGGCCTCTTCCGATCTCCAGGACAACGCCACAATGGCCGCTTCTTCCTCCCTTGGCCCCCCACGGCTCCCTGTCGGCACGTCTGCGCATGCCCAGGTCCCGCGCGCGGGCCAATGGGAAGTCCTGTATGCATTCAGGGAAATGTAGTCTAAAGCCTGGAGAGCTAGGAAAGGCCGTTGACGATGGCCAATAGGCCGCTGGCAATCCTTGGTGCATCTTGGGAAGTGTAGTTCTGGCGCTGGCGGAGCCTTTCGGGGACGGGAGCGCGCGGGTCGCCACGGCGAGAGCCAATGGGAAGCCGCCGTTGCCGCGAGGCTTGCTGGGAAATGTAGTTCTGGGTGAGACCAGCGGAGTCGGGGGATGGTTTGTTGAGCTGAACGGACGACTAGGTCTCTGGGAGTGTTGTAGGGGAGAGGGACGGAGGAGTTTGGCGCAAAGCCTGCCGGGGCATGGAGCCCCAATGGGCTTTGTGCGCATGTGCGAAGAGGTGAAGGGGCTTGGGGGGCCTCGCCTGGGAGTGTGAGGTGAGTGAGGGGAAAGGAGGGAGGGATGGGGGGCGGTTGGACGAGCTTTGGGGAGTGGGGGCTGGAGGCCGGAGGAGGGAGGGATGGGAGAGTTAGGGAGAGGGGATACAAAGGGGGTCTGGGTGAAGGGAGAGGTAGGGGAGGAGGATGGGCCGGGGGAGGGGGTTGTGGATCCCCGAGGTGGAAATCGCAGGTGAGAGTTGCAAACTGAGGGAAGGGAGTTGGGGAGGGCCTAGAAAGTGGGAGGGGGCGAAGGGAGGGCGGGAGGGAGGGAGGGGAGGAGATTCCGGCAGGGGGTGGGGCTGGGCCCTACCGACCGATCCCATTGGAAAGGTTTGAGGGAATGCGATTTAGGGGAAGGTTATCCTCCCGACGTAGACGGGGTGCAGGTGGTCCATTTAATGCGCTGTTTTCACAAGCTCAGTCTCGCTTTTATAAATTGTGAGATTCCTGAGGATGAGATTAATTGCCTGGTTTTCTTTATTTCTTTTTTGAAGAGTACTCGCCTCATTAGCTTGTTGCAAGGGATTAAATTCGTTGATGGGGGGGGGTCAGTGTTTCGAGGCTGTGTTTGCTGTTATCACCTGAGGCTGCCCCCTCCCCACGTCTACCCTGCTCAGCCTCCAATCACCCTCGTTTATTTCCTATTTTAACACCTATTCCAATTTATAGCTAGATTTTAATGCACGTGGTTGTTTTAATAACAGCATCCCAGCACCTCACGAAGTAATTTAAGTAACTAACTCTGGGTGAGGGCTTGCTTATCCCAGATGCTGTTCTCAGCACCTGTTTCCTTATATGCTAAATTCTTACTGTGACTCTTGGGCTAGTATGATTTTACTACCCCAGAATGGAGTTTTGGTGTACCTTGTCCAAGGACAAATAACTGGGAGGCAGCAGAGCCGGGATTTGCTCCAGATTCCTTGTGCTCTGAGTAAATATTTATCCCATGGACCAGTGGCTCTCCATCAGGGGCGACTTTGCCCCCCAGGGGACACGTAGCAATATCTGGAGACATTTTTGGTTGTCACAATTCAGGAGATACTACTGGCATCTGGTGGAAAGAGGCCAGGGATGCTGCTCAACATTTTCATGGCATAGGACAGGTGCCACAACACAGAATTAATTATCCAGCCAAGGTTAGGAAACCTGCAGTAGACAAGTCTTCACTGAGCACTTCCTCAGGGCCGGCCCATTTCTAAAACTCCTTATAGGGAAGGAGCCAATATTAGTCCTGTCTTACAGGTGGACAAATTAAGCCCAGAGAGGGCAAGTCACGTGTCCAAGGTTACACAGCAGATCAGTGGCAGAGCTGCAAGTTGGAGCCCAGCGCCGGAGCCCATCTCTTAACCATTTAATTAACCCAGCATGTGTTATTTTTAAAAAACAGGTTGCAGGCCAGATTTAACCCACAGGCAGCTGCTTGCTGACCCCCGCCCCAGGCTGGGGGCTCTCAAACAATTTGGACTCAGGATCCCTTTATATTTTTAAAAATTATTGAAGGACCCAAAACAGAGTTGTTTACAGAAGTTAGAGCTTTTAGTATGTATCTTATTAGAAAAGAAGGCCAAGAAAATGTCAAACTATTCATGCATTTAGAAATAGCGGTAGTCAATTCTTCATGTGTTAACATAAATACTATTTTTAAAATGTAAAACAACCATGTTTTCCAAAAGGAAGAGTTGGAAATGTTTTTTTTGTGTGTGTGAATCCAATGTCTGACTTAAAAGAAGTCCACTGGGTCATCTGCTTCTGCATTCAGCTTGTGGCCACTGGCCTTGAAGACCCCACCATACACTCAGGAGAAAATGAGAGGGAAAGAAGCAAATAATGTCTTAGTGTCAGGATGACAATAGTTCTGACCTTGAATTGTCCCCCAGGAGGGTCTTGGCATCCCCAGCGGTCCCCAGGTCATTCAAGGACCATTCTTATAAGCTAGGGTTTCTTAGCCACGGCATTGTTGAAATTGGGGCTGGATCATTCTGTGCCGTGGGGGCATCCTGTTCACTGTAGGATCCGTAGCAGCATCCTGTCTCCTCCACACCCACACCCATCCCTTTCCCGGCAGCAGCATCGCTACCCCCACCCCTTGTCCAACATCAAAAGTGTCTTCAGACACTTCCAACTGGGGAGGGGGATCACATTGCCCCTGGTTGAGAACCACTGCTCTAGGCTCTGTGTCATCCTCATAACGGAAGCCACTACCACATTTGTGTGCCCCCCTTTTGGAAGGGGGAAGAGGAAGTGGAGGGCACATAGCTTCCTCTGGGGTGGGGTGGGGTGATTACACAAAGGAAAAGTGGGAGAATGGATACAGGGGAACTCTCACAGTCTGCCAAATTTCCCAATACCCGAACACGACTGGGGTCTAGTGTTGTAGTCTGCTCGGGCTGCCATAACAAAATACCACAGACAGGCGGTTTCAGCAGCAGACATTTGTGTCTCAGTTCTGGAGGCCAGAAGTCCAAGATCAAATGCAGGCTGATTTGGTGTCTGGTGAGAGCCCTCCTCCTGACTTACAGAAGGAGCTTCCTTGCTTGTCCCCACTTGGCAGAGAGAGATCATGGGGACATCTCTCTTCCTCTTCTTACAAGGCCATCAATCCTATCAGATTAGGATCCCACCCTTAGAACTTCATTTCATCTCCCCCCCCCCAGTTTCATTGAAATATAATTGACATATAACATTGTCTTCATTTAAGTTGTAGAACTTAATAATGATTTGATATGTATGTATGTAGTGAAATGATCACCACAGTACTTGTAAGTCTAGTTAACATCCATCAACTCACATAGTTAACAGATTTTTTTCTTGTAATGAGAACTTTTAAGATTTACTGTCTTAGCAACTTCCGAGTATTCAACACAGTATTGTTAGCCTATTGTCACAGTGCTGTTCATTATAGCCCCATGACTTAGTCATCTTATAACTGGGAGTTTGTGCCTTTTGACCAACTTCCCAATCATTTAATTATCTCCTAAAAATCTCATCTCCAGATGTAGTCACATGGGGGTTAGAGCTTGAACATAATGGATTTGGGGCCACAGTTTAGCACAGCCGTTAGTAAGAAAGAGACAGAGGGTGGCTTTCGAGAAGCCATCCTGCAGTGTCTGCATGAGGGACACGCGGTTGGTACATGATCAGGCAAAGCGATTGTATTGGGTTGTCGGGAAAGTCATGACGCATTTTTGCATTGGAAAACAGAAAAATACGTCATGACCTTCCCGACGACCCAATAGTAGTGATGGCAGCTATGCTCCCTTACATTTCTGAGCACCTGCTGTGTGTCAGGCCCTGTGTGTGTTGTTTAACTCCCACAATGAAGCTGTGGAGGAGACTGCGGTACAGTGGTGCCCCGGTCACCCATGGGAGAGGCTGAGCCAGGATTTGAACCTGTCCCATCCCATGAGGGGGGTCACAGCCCCCCTTTCTCCAGGACCTGTTGTCTGTGGGGCACTTAGAGCAGCACCCCTCAGCCACCTTCTCAGGCAGCTATCTGCGGCCACTAGGTGGATGAGCACTATGTCTTATGGGGGAAACTGAGGCACAGAAAGGTGACACCACTTGCTCCAGGTCATTTGGCTTCTAAGTGGGGTCCTGGGGTGTGCATCCCCGTGGTGTGGTTCCAGACCCCGCACCCCTGCTGTCCTTCCCCCACAGCGGGTGGCTGCAGATTCCAGAATGCCTGGCTGGGCTCTCACCATGTTGAACTTGCCTCCCCACAGGTGTTGCTGTCCCCCCAGGGCTCACCGGCCACCATGGAGGTCCTGTGCCCCCAGCCCGTGAAACAGGAGGGCCAGGCTTCTGGGGGCCTGGCCCTCGACTCACCGTGGCACCGCTTCCGCCACTTCCACCTGGGGGATGCACCAGGTCCCCGTGAGGCACTGGGCCGGCTGCGCGCCCTGTGCCGGGACTGGCTGCAGCCCGAGGTGCACACCAAGGAGCAGATGCTAGAGCTGCTGGTGCTGGAGCAGTTCCTGAGCGCCTTCCCTGCCAACATTCAGGCCTGGGTGTGCAGCCGGCAGCCCCAGAGCGGGGAGGAGGCCGTGGCCCTGCTGGAGGAGCTCTGGGTAAGCGGTGGGTGGCTGGTGGGAGGGCCCGTGCACATGCGTCCCTTGGTGGCCACCTCCCAGGGGTCGGAGACTCGCCTGCCCCTCGGTTCTTACTGTCTGCTCTCCAGACCGGCGCCCGGCCTCAGCTTGTGGGAATGACACTCCACTTGTACGCAGACAAACAAAACAGGCTCCATGATCTCTGGCATCAAGAGTGTGATGGAGGGCTGGCCAAGTGGCTCAGTTGGTTAAGAACGCGAGCTCTGAGCAACAGGGTTGCCGGTTCGATTCCCACATGGGCCGGTGAGCTGTGCCCGAGCTGAGCTGCTGCTGAGCTGCCAACAGGTGGCAGGATGGCTCAGCTGGTGAGAGCACGTGCTCCTAACAACAAGGTTGCCGGTTCGACTCCCGCATGGGATGGTGGGCTATGCCCACCAGCAACTAAGATTGAACATGGCACCTTGAGCTGAGTTGCCCTGAGCTGCCGACGGGCGGCCGGATGGTGACTGGACTTGGAGCTGAGCTAGCTGCGTCCTCCACAACTAAGATTAAAGGACAACAGCTTGGCTGTTCCCCTTCCCCAATTCCCCAACACTGTCCCCCTTCCCCAATTCCCCAATAAAATCTTTAAGAAAAAAAAAAAGTGTGATGGAGAGTGGGGATCGCACCTGCTGTAGGGCAGGTGTGAGGTCAGGCTGGTGGTACAGTTTAGACAGAACAGTCCTTAAGACAACCCTCCCTCCTGGCACCCATTTGGGGGTCCCCAAGACCATCCTCACTTGGAAAGTCCAGTAGAAGAAGGACTCAGAACTCAGGGAAGGCCGCTGTGCTCACGGCTCTGGTTAATCACAGTGGAAGGACGCAGGTTAAATTGGCCCAGGGAGGAAGTGCACGGCCAGGGCCCAGGGATTTCACATGTGGAGCTTCCGGTCTCCTCTCCCAGGGGTTGTCAAGCAGCAAGCACCGAGTATTGCCCACCAGGGAGGCTCCCTGAGCCTGGTGTCTAGGGCTTTTATTGGGGGTCGGCCACATATACAGAGTTGACTGCCCCATGGCTGATGTCAGTCTCCATTTCCCTCTGGGGGTTAGGCTGACACAGCATGGCCATAAGCCCCCTGATAAATCCCACTGAGGTCCTGAGGGGTTGGCACTGGGTACTGCTGTCCTCTGTCTCACAGATGACGATAGGAGGCTCAGATATGCTAAGCAACTTGGCCAAGGTCACATAGCTAGTTAGGGGGTGGTGGAAGGTACAGAATTAACGTGCTGTGGCCCCAGATTCTTGCTGCTGGTCCCTGAGCACCCATGGCTGCTCTGTTGTGGACGGCGCTCGGCCTCTGCATGGCAGCATCCCGTGTCTGACCCCAGGCCAGAGAGCCCCAGGACATCTGTGGGGTCCTGCAGAGGACTGAAGGTTCTCAGGCTTGGGCGTGCCTTAGCATCACCAGGAGAGCCCGCTAGCAGTGCGGCTTCCTGACCCCCACTCCAGGAGTGCTGACCAGGGAGCTGGAGGGTCTCCACGCCATGCGCTTGACCCACCACCTCTCTGATTGGGGGCTCGGGGTGAAGACTTGTGTGCCGCCCAGCCCCTTCTGAACTGACAGGGTGGAAGGTAACTCGCTTGGGACCCACAAGCAGGTCTGTAGTGGAGGCATCCAGGTCGGCCTCATGCCAGACCCCAGCCTTACCTGTGCACTCCTGCATCTCTTCTTCGGGGCAAAGGCAGACGATTTGACCTTTATCCATCCATCCATTCACTCTTTCACTGTCTAGCATGAGGTGCCAGGAACTGCAGCCCTCTTCTGTGCTGCCGGGAGTGCAAAGTTACGCAGCCACGGTGGGAAACAGTCCGGCAATTCCTTCAAAAGGTTGAATGTAGAACGCAGATGAGAAGCTGTGGGAACGTAACTCGTGTACATCAGCCAGCCTGTGGCAAAGCAGGTGTCAGTATACGTCGTTTCGCTTAAAGTTTCAGGACGCACTGCCAAGGTTAAGTGAGGATGCACTGCGCCCTGTGAGCCCGCAGTTCCCTTCTGGGTGTGCACCCAGCAGAAATGAAAACGCATCCACACTGAACTGAACCCAGTGTGGGATGAGGGACAGCCAGGCGGCGTCACTTGTGATAGCCCCAGAGTGGAAACCTCGTGTGCACCGGCTGGGGCATGGGTAAAGCAAATGCAGTGGTCACACCGTGGACTGTGATTCAGCCGTGAGAAAGAATGAAGTCCTGACACAACATGGAAGAGCATTGACGACCTATGCATAAGAGGCCAGTCAAAAAAGACAATGCCTGCGTGATTTCATTTCTATGCACTGCCCAGACTCAGCAAATCTGCAGACACAGAAAGTAGATGGTGGCTTCCAGCGGCTTGGGGGAGGGGAAGGGTAGTGATGGGTTCAAGGTTTCTTTTGGGGAGGATGAAAAGACTCTCAAAGTGACTGTGGTGATGCTTGCACAGCTCTGGATCTACTAAAAACCACTGAATTGTGTTTTAAGTAGGTGAATTCTGTGGTACATGAATGTTATCTAAATAAAGCTCTTATTAAAAGACCAGCACCAGGGATACCACAGAAGCAAGACAGGCCAGTCCCAGGAGCCTGCCGTCTGTTGGAGGAGATGGGTGAGCACGGATGCGAACAATTGGTGTGATGGGCCAGGCGGCTGCATTGGCGAAGTCTGACATCCCAGAGAGAAATGACACCAACTCCATACAGACTATCCCAAAAATGGAAGAAGAGGGGCTACTTCCAGCTCCTTCTGTGGGGCTGACATTCCCCTGATGTCAAAGCCAAAGACATTACAAGAAAACTATAGGCCAATATCCTAATCTCAAAATAATTATGTTCAGAGAGAGAAACCAGACCAAACAAATTAAAAAAACAACAACACCTGTTCACTGTGTGGTGCTATTTGGGTAAAGTTCTAGAAGATGAAAACCACTCTGTAGTGACAGGAAGAACATCAGTGGTCATGTTGGGATGGGGAGATGACACGCGTGTGCGAGGACTGTCAGGTGGTAGCTGTGTACTCGATTGCCGTGGTGCCTTCTTGAGTGTGTATGTATGTCAAAACTCATCGGGTTATGTGCTTTACATGGATTTATTGTATGTCTGCTAAACCTCAATAAAGCCATTAAAAAGTGCGGTGTGATGGGTACCAAAATAGGGGATGTTCCTTGTAAACCTGTGTGTGTGGCAGAGACGGGGCCTTAGCCAACTCCCAAGGTAGACTAGATGGGACAGGGTATTCAGGCAAAAGAGTGGAGGTGTGCAAGAGCCTAGCACACTCAGCTCACATAAGCTGTTTACAGTGGCATGGACTTAGAGTTCCAGGTGGGGACTTCCCCAAAGGTAGGGCTGGACTGGGTAGCAGGGACCAGCGCACATGGGCCACTGCAGAAGCAAGCAACAGAACAGCACCTGTGGCCCCATCACACCCTGGGCGGCCCGAGTGGCCAGGAATCGGTTCACAGCCACAACTCACCCATCCTGCCACAGCCCAGACAGCATGCATTCACCCATACATCCCAAACAACGTGCTTTCACAAAAGGCGCCGAACGCTTCCTGCTGAGTCCTCTCACCAGCTGATAGAATGTTGGCATCGCTGATTTCCACCCTAACCATTGCTTTAGTCCGAAAGCGTTTGAAACAAGTAAAATGTGAAGAAGGGGGTTGGATGCAGACAGCTCATGAGTCAACTGTCCATGGACACCAGGAGAATCCTGGTCTTACCCTCGGGGACGAGGGCTTGAGGAACAATGACGAGTGTCCAAGAACTAAAAATTGCCACTCTGAGCTTTTTCTTTAACCTTCCTGGCTGGCGCCATTCCACTCGGGGCTGTTGCCATTCAAGCCAGGAAAAGTCCCATTCTGAGGTTGCTTAATTTTCCCCGAGTTAAAAGTAGCTTACATGTTTTTCTTCTGCATTTTGTCAAGGAGTTTGCAAAGGGCCATAAGAAGCTAAAGCAATATTCAAAGCAGGTATATCAGTTATCTGTTGTGTAGCATCACCCCAAACTTAGTGGCTTAGAAAAATAAGTATTTGTCATCTCACACAGGTTTTGTGGGTCAGGAAGTTGCAGCGGGTCCGGCTCAGGGTCTCTGATGGGCCGCGGTTGTCCGCTGAAGGCTGTCCTGGGGCTGGAGGGTCCAACCTGCAGTGGTTCCCTCAGGGGCCCCTCCATGGGAGAGCTGGGCCTCCAGAATAGCCAGCTTCCCCAGAGCCGGCAATAGGACTCAGTGACTGGTTAAAGGTGGAGGGGAGAGAGAGGGAGAAAAATTGAGGCCCTCACTCAGGTTTCTCACTTGCGAATGTGGTCTCTCATTTCAGGGACCAGCGATGAGGGCCCCTCGGGATGTGACAGAAGGCTCCGGGGTCGGCCTCGGAAAAGAAGAAGGGGGAATGATCCCGTTAGGTGAGCAGCTGGCTTGTCTCTCCCACACCACTGGCTTTCTCTCCCAGCCCTCGTGGCGGGTGGGGGTGGGAAAGGGGTGGGGTTCCCTTCTGCCCATCATTCATTTGTTCAGTCCTGGGGCTGGGAATGAATCAGACATCAGACACTACCCCCCTCCTTCCCCGCCCTGGAGGGCACAGCAGGTGGGGTGTCAGGCAAAGCCCCATGGCAGCCCTGTAGATAGGCGGCTTTGCCCACCATCTGTAGCCACAGAGGCCAGCACAGAGAAATGAAATAGCTCACCTGAGAGCAAGTGCTGGCAAAACCAAGATTGCACCCTGAGATCTGTGCCCATGGTCTCAACGAGGTGCTGCCCCCTGCAGCTGCACAGAGGCCCGGGACCATGGTTCACTGGCTCCCATTCGGCCATGCTCTTTCCGATCTGGGCACTGTGGCCAGGGAGCCAGCACCCTGTGCCAGTCATCCAGGCCTGGCACGCACACCTGCCCTTGGAGCTGGGGCTGGAGCCGGCTCCATCCAGACCACACACTTTAGGATGAGGAAGGGAGGTCAAAGAAGGGAACAGACAGTGGAAGACAGAAACCTGAGACGTCCACCAGAGGCAGACTGATGATTCTGGGACTCGGTGTGGAACCAGTGCTGGGGGTGCAGGTGTAGAGGACAGAGTAGCTTGAGGGTCATCTCGAGGTCACATGTGGAAGCAGCAGGATAGAGACCACGGAGAGGGAGGGACCTGGGGAGGATGGAGGATGCAGGGAGGATGGAGGACACGGGGAGGACAGGGACCCTGGGAAGATGGAGGACGCAGTGGGGACAGGGACCCGGGGAGGATGGAGGGTCACAGGGAGGACAGGGACCCGGGGAGGATGGAGGACACAGGGAGGACAGGGACCAAGGTTATGCTTGGGAGCTCGTAGTGTTTCAGGTCCTGTCTGATGAACACCAGCAGAAAAGCAAAGCTGGAAGAACTTGTAAAGTACAAGTGTGTCTGTGGGCCTGGGGGAGAGGGTCGGAGTTCCAGACTACTTCCTGCAGAAGGGCAGGTCAGGGGAGCTAGTAGGGATGGTCAGGTCACCTGGACTCGCCTCTGAGCTCAGTGCCCTCCTCTGTCTGTGTAGGGGACAAGATAGACCTGCTCTCACTGTGGTGTGTGAGGTTGAAACAGTGTATAGGTAAACTGCTCCACACCACTCCAGGCACATAGGGGACAGATAACAGATGTTAGTGATTGCTGTTTTTATCATGCCTGTCCTAGTGTTAAAAACACGTTGCTTATCTCCCTGCATTTCCATAGAGCAGTTTGAAAACGTGGAGAAAGGAAATACGTGGTTCATTTTTCCATGTTATCTACCCACCCATTTGTCACCTGAATACCCACTCAGATGCCTGCCTGCTCCCTCGTACATTGTACAGTCACCCACCGACCTACCATTTATCCATCAGTCTGCCTTCCTCCTCATCCCTTCATCTGTCTCCCCATTACTCCTTCTCCACCAACCACCCATCCACCCTACATCCACCCATCCACCCTCCATCCACCCATCATCATCCATCCGTTCACCCATCCATCCGTTCACCCATCCATCAACCAATTGCATCCATCTACCCACCCACCCACCCATCCACCCCTCACACATATTTACTCACTTATCTATCCATTTCTTCCTCCACCCATGCATGCCCCTGCTGACCTGCCATTCACCCACCAATCCACCCTACACTGTCTGTTCACCTGTGTACTGTACCACTTTCCCCATCTGTTCACCCATCCCCCTCACACCCACCCATCCATCTGTAGGTCTCTCGAGTGGGCGCTTAGTGTGCACCAGGCACTGTGCTGTGGGGATCACAGGAATGAATGAGAAGCCCACCCCAAAGTCCCCTGTTGTTGAGCGCTCCCTCCCTGCCCATGAAACCGTCATCATCTCCGGTTCGCCCCTGCTGGACTGTGCCCGCTCCGCTTTGCGCGGAGCCGCCGCCCTGACTGCGCCTTTGCCTGACAGGAGACGCGGCCTCGGGGGCTGAGGAGCCGGCGACGGGGGACACACAGGCCCCACGCCACTATAAGCAAGAACCGGACAGCCCCGCGCTGACCCCGCCGGCCCCGCCTGCGCCCGGCCTGCCTCCCTTCCTGGCCGCCCCTGGCGCCACATCCTGCCCTGAGTGCGGCAAGGCCGCCCTGAAGCCGACGCACCTGCTGCGCCACCGACAGAGCCACTCGGACGAGAAGCCACACGCCTGTCCTGAGTGCGGCAAGGCCTTCCGGCGCAAGGAGCACCTGCGGCGCCACCGCGGCACGCACCCCGGCAGCCCCGGGCCGGCCCTGCGCCCACTGCCTGCCCGCGAGAAGCCTCACGCCTGCTGCGAGTGCGGCAAGACCTTCTACTGGCGCGAGCACCTGGTGCGCCACCGTAAGACGCACTCGGGCGCGCGGCCGTTCGCCTGCTGGGAGTGCGGCAAGGGCTTTGGGCGCCGCGAGCACGTGCTGCGCCACCAGCGCATCCACGGCCGGGCGGCGGGTGGCGCGGGCGGGCCAGGCACGCCGGGCCCCGAGGCCGGGGGGCCCTTCCCGCCCTGGCCCCTGGGGTAGCCGCTCCGCCTGCCGCGTCATCGTGCCCGGCAGCCGACCTCCAGCACCCGCTCCTCTGCCCCCCACCCCTCACCCTGTGTTTAAACTGCCCGATGCCCTAACATCTTCTCTGTTCCTTCCTAGCTCTGTCCCAAATCTCACTTTCCTGTTCACATCTCACCTCCTGACCCCCCAGCCTTTCCCATCCTCTGAAAAGGTACCTCCACATTGCATCCTTCTCCCCTCTCCCCCCTCCTTCCCTCTCCACCCACTCCCTACCCTGGAGAGGAACAAGGTAGGCCAGGAGCGCAGAAGAGGAGCACAGGGCAAGACCGGCAGGCAGATCCCTTGATGGAGAGGAGGCTAAAGGAAAGGGGCTGGGTCTTGCCCCTAGGAGACCCCCAGGACAGATTGGGGGATGGGGAAGGGGCCTGGCAGTGGACTCGTTGGTCTCGGTTTTCTCTGCACCCAGGAAGGCATGAGATGGACAGCGATGCCTGCTCTGGGAAGCGAGTTGGAGACAATTCACCAGCATCTGCAGAGTAATAAAAGTCACTGATGAGGTGTGTAGACCTGAGTCCCAGGTTCTGTCGTAGGCGCCACACCCTGGGAGTTGATTGTCTAGGAGATGGGCTCTCTGGAACCCACACAGTGCGGGGGAGGCCCTGGGAGCCTGGGCATAGCCCTAGGGCAGCAGTTCCTATACTTGAGCCAAAGACAAGGGACCCTGTGAGAGGTGACGGGTCACCCATGTCTGGCAGCATGGGAGACGGTTGCACACGTTGCTCATCATCCCCTGCCCACTCGGGGTCCCAGGAGAGATCATCCCACTCCCATCTCACAGAGGCAGGCAGGAGGTTGGGGTAGGGACTCAGCTCAGTGCCAAGCTGGCCCAGGTTTGGTCTACCCAACTGCTTCCTGGCTGCATAATCTCAGGTCACACCCATCAGTTTCCACATCTATAAATAATGGTACCCACATCCTTTGCTAAGAGTGTTCCTTGGGGTAGTTCACCCCATTTCATAGGGGACCCCAAATATTACTGTCAGTGGGACTGTTGGGTGACCCATTTTGCCAAGAGAGGAATCCACTCTCCTGGGAGTGGAGTGCGAGTGTGGTGGCCATCAGTCTGAGACCCTCTGGAGGTGGTGTGGCTCACTGTTGAGTGCAGACCTTTTTAGGGTGCTGTCTCACCCCTGGTTCTCAGTTTAGCACAGTGTCCTGGGGTCCAGGCCCTGGTTCCTTCTCTTCAGGGTGATGGACCAGCGCCTCGCCAGTAAAACCCAGGCTATGGGCCATGTCCTAGCTGCAGGAAAGTCTGGGAAAGTAACTAGTTAGACCAGGGGTTGGCAAACTGCGGCTCGCGAGCCACATGCGGCTCTTTGGGTATGTTCTGTCTCAAAAGTTTGCAGACCCCTGGAAGAGCCAATCCTGTCCCTCACAACAATTTAAAAATTATTTGAGAGCCATATATATATTTTTACATGATCACCATTATGTGAATAATATACTTTCAAAATTTTATAAATGAAACTATGATAGTTTTATTTTCATTTTCAATTTTACTTCAGAGCCACATGTATGTACCCAAAGAGCCACATGTGGCTTGCCAGCCGCAGTTTGCTGACCCCTGGTGGCTCTTGTGTCTCAAAAGTTTGCCTACCCTTGAGCTCGACTGTCCAGTGTCTACAGCCAGAGTCTGGTCCCACCTTCTCTTACTGTGGACTCAAAAGGGTTCACTTGCCTGTGCGTATCCAAGCCAAAATAAGGTACCAGCAGAAGTTTGCAGCAAAGTAAAGGTTTATTTAGGGATTTGTCACCAAGCCTGGAGGCACCTGAGCTAGTGCTCTCAAAAACGTGGCTCCCCAGTGGCCTCTAGTGGCTAGGCCAGGTAAGGGAAAAATCATTAATCATGGTTGCTATGAGAGCTGGGGTCATGGGCTCTAGTGATTTGTTGGGGCTAAGGCAGGAGCAATTGATCACGGCTCCAGGTCCTGGTGTCATGACATCGTTCGTTTGGTTTCCAGGGCATGCAGTACATGGGCCATTTCCACCTTCGTGAGTCTGGAGCTGGAATGTAACTGAGGCCAAGTTGTTACCTTTGACTAAAACCTTATTCTAGTTTGAAGTTGGGTTATTGTATCCTAGCCATGGTTGATAGACCTGAAGCTTTACTCTTAAGTGAGTCTGAGCTGACCAGAACCCAATGTCCTAAGAGCTTAATGATGTAAAAGAGTGAACATACAGCATATGTACAGGTAGGAGGGTCCGGGGAAAGAATGCAGGTGAGTTATAGTTCTATCCGGATAAACAAAGCTAGCTTGGATTAAAGCAGAATGTGTGCTAAAGAAATGAAGTTCACACGTGGTTACACTTAAAAGACTCAAGTGCCCAGGCAGCTGAGGGAGGTTTGGGTGCCGGGCAGTCTGAAGGAGTGAGTGACCATCAGGGTGCCCCGGGCAAGGCGCTGGCCTGAGTGCTACCTTTTGAGACAGCGGATGAGGCTCCTGCTGGAAAAGCCCATTGTTGGAAATGAAGGGAAGGAATGAATGCAAATGCTTGACTCTGCGCAGCCCATTGCAAGCACCCCCAGGCGCCTTTCCTCTCAGTGTCCCCTCGCACCCAGAGGTTCAAGTCACTGTGCCCACTGTCTGGCAGAGAAAACTGGCTTGGAGAAGCCCCATCATCAGCTGCAGGACCTCAAGAGGGGACTGGGAGAGACATGAAGTGGCGGTGGTGGCGGGTGATGAGGCCAGGCCGGGGTCTGAGGACCAGGTCCTGATAACAGCAGCTGGTGCCTACTGTGGGCCAGGCCCTCTTCCAAGGGCTTAAACCTACCCACTCATTTCATCGTCATAGCAAAAGAGGCAAGCAGTGTCGTTATCCTCATTACACAGATCGGGGAAACAGGCACTCAAAGAGTAAGTGGCTGGGCCACGGTCATGGAAAACCTGAGTTGTGGTTTTGGAGCCTTTCCTGCTGCTTCTGCAGTGATGAGGGGCCAGATTGGTGCCCATGGAAGTCCTTGTAGGAACCGGCAGGTGGGCAGAGGCTCCAAATCAGGCCACGGTGGTTTCCTTCCTGCTCCATATCCTTGGGGTCCTGGTGCAGGGGCTCTGTCAGGACCCAGTGGGGGTCAGCTGAGTTTTCGTCAGTCTCCAGTCTGGCTGCTACACCCACCTCCCCTCACCCCTCCCTCTGCCCCAGTTACAGGAGGTTAACACACCAGGTCCCAAACTTGCTCCACTTGGTATGGGAGGAGGTGAATAACAGGAGTAGCCTAGTCACGTGGGTGACCACTCACCGGCCCCCAGAATCCATGCTGATCCCACTTCTGAAATATACCCCAAAGCCATGTGCCCTTCTCTCTGTCTTTATCACTCCTCTGGGTCAAGCCATGTGTGTTTGCTCCCCTTCCCTCCTACTTAAAACCTCACGGCTTGATTGCTCCCATGAGTGATGACATCGGGGCGTGAGGCAGAGATGAGGGAGATGGGAGTGAGTTACCACTAAGCAAAAATCAGCCTTGTCTAGCAGACTCGGCTGGACTTTTGCACTTGGTAGTGGCAGGGTTCCAAGAAAGTGTGACAGAGCAGAGGTGTGCGAGGCCTCCTGAGGCCAGCACAACCACTGCTATCTTGTTTTACCAGCTTATATTCAAGGGTGAGGAAAAAGGCCCTGCCTCTTGATGGTGGGGGTTGCAGGGGTTTGCAAAGGGCTTGGATTGGGAGGGGGTGGAGAACTGGGGTCATCAGTGCAATCACTTCTAAAAGCTTCCTTTATTCAACAATTTAATGAGCACCTGCACTGGCCTGGTGTCGGGGGCCTGCGGAAATAGCAGTGAGCCAAAAAGAAGTCCCTGTCCAGCGAAACTTACATGCCAGTGGTCCAGGGAGAGAAGAGGAAGATGAGACAAACAGGAAACAGATGCCTGAAGGGGTTGCAACAGTGGTAAACCTGGTATAAATAAGGCAGGGTGATGCGACGAAGAGGGCATTTTGGGGATGGACAGTGGAGACTAAACAGTCATGGGAGGTCTTTGAGGAGGGACTTGGGTGGACGCCTGGGTGACGCAGGTCCAGCCATGCAAACATCTGGGCACAGGGATACAGGGAGAGGGCCCATCCAGGACCCAGGCCACAGGGAGGAGCAAGCCAGCGTGGCTGGACCAACGAGGGGTGGAAGGAGGCGAGTCATGAACGTTTCGGGGCTAGAGTGAGCAAGTAATTTTATTTTTGACATTCTGGGAAGGCACTGGAAGGTTGTGGACAGGGGTTGCAGCATCCTATTTGTATTGTAAAAGCAATATTTTGGCTGCCTTGTGGAAAACAGAGGAGGCAGGGCGAGGATAAAAGCAGGATATTCTGAGGCATTGCTGAGAGTTAAGATGCAGGTGAGTGTGCATCAGTTTAGGGAAAAGAACGGTTCAGGCACGAAGTGTCCTCTACTTCCTCACTCGTGACCTTGGAGCCTACCATAGCACCGTTCTCTAATCGTGACTATGACTGGGAGGTGTGATTGCATGATCATTAAGCGAACAGGCTCCTAAGTCCAAGTGCCTGGGTTTATATCTAGTTTTTTACTAGCTGTGCAATCTTGGGACAGTTACTTAACTTCTCTGAGCCTCCATCTTTGTGATTCATTCGAGGAACATAATCCCTACGTCATAGAGTTGGTGGGAGGACTCAGTGAGGTCAGGTCAGGTACACGAGTCCTGAGCACATCACTGGGAATACAGTACATGCTGATGATTACTATTAATAGGATTATCAATGACAAAGACCCCTTTCCACAGTGGGTCCCTCCCCCGCCTGCTTTATATTCCTTAATTGTCCTCACAACAACACTGTGAGGATATTATTCTTTAAATTATTATTCCTCATTATTATTAAAAAAATTTGTAATTATTATTCCTATTTTAAAGATGACAAAATTGACACTCAGGTGGCTACTTAGGATATGGCAGAGCTGGGATTCAAACCCAGGCACATCTGGTCCGAAACTTCATTCCCTTCCCATGTCCCTTTCTTCCTCCAAAGAAACAGAGAGGCAGGGAGTGAGGCAGACAGGATGTAAGAAGCAGAAAGAGACACAGCAGCCCAGTGAATGAGAGATGCCAGGACACTAAGACACCAAAAAGTGCTGAGTTCCAGGACAGGGAGCCAACTAAAAGCCACTGCATGTATCCCGTTCTCATCACAAAACCCAAGAGAAAGCTTCATATTCATCTTTTAATCTTAGGCATTAGAGGGATTCTAGGGTAGGGATTCAAAGTGAAATATATTAGAGCCTTGGGGTAACAAGAGGGACTCATGAGGTCTGTAGGGAACTGGAAAGAACAAGTCCTGTCAAAAGCTACTACCCCACCCTAGCTGGTGGCTGTTATTTGGGGACTTTGGTTCAGTGTTTACAGACCCCCTGCCATACTGAGAGAAGCCGGAAATCCAGATCTTTATGTGAAATGTCTGAACTCTACATGCTGGTGACTCAATTTGCAACCGAGTGGGTGATGAGCAGGAAAGGGAGACAGGCCTTCATTCTAACCCAAATTCCCAACCCCCAAAATAGCATGTCTGTGTCCTCTAGAGGATTAGTTGTAACCCCTTCGTTTTGGTCTAAAATAAGAACTGGTTGAGGGAAATTATTGAATATTCAGCACAATGGACAGAGCAGGTTGCTCAAAGCCGAGTTAGAGGAAAGAAAAACTTGTACTTCCCCAAGTCCAGGAAATCCATTTTTTACCTCCTTTCTCAGGTGGGAAAGAGAAATAAAGCTTTCATGCAAATTATAAACTGTACAAGACCCCCACACACACACACAAACACTGTTTTATTGTGTGTATGGTAGGGGAATTCTTTGGTAAGGTTGAAAAAACAAATATGAATCTACATTTTTTAAATCTTGGGAGACTTTTGTGACTGCCACATTGTTGGACCACACAGAAAGTGGGCATAGATTTTTAGAAGCTGCCTAGCTCAAAAGGGGGTAACATTCGAAGACATGCATATGACTATTTAGAAAGAAACCCCCTTTTTCATCATCACACTTGACAACCCCTCCAAGTTCCAGCCCTCCTTCAACCACCACGGGAACCAGGAAGACACAGCCTGCCATTGTCATGTCAAGGTCTTGCCCCATCACGGACGCTGACATTGCAGTCACACCAGAGACATAGTGGGATGATGTGGTGTGGGGAGTGCTGATTCGTGGGCTAGAGTCATCAAAGGTGGAAGCATGTCCTGGAGTTTGTCAGATGACAACAAGCCATGTTGGGGACAGTAGCATGTTTTAGCCTTCAAAAGGCAAGTGGATGTCCAATTGTGAAAAAAGCAATGCAGAAGATATGGCAACTTCCCCTGATGTTGAATGAGAGTTGAGCCTCATGAATTAATGGTGTGGAAATAAAGAGAAATTAGAACAAAAAAGGAAAGAGGGAGGTTGGAAAGGGAAGGCTATTGGATCTGAGATGAATTAACCAGGTCTTCCTCCCCAGTCTCACCCCCAGCCTAGAGAACCTGGTTTGGGAACTGGTGCTGAGCAGACCCATTCAAAGTTCATCCCTTTCTTAAAAAAAAAAATCATCCCTTTCTCACCCACAGGTTTGGGCACGCTCAGCAAGAATGTCCCCAAGGAGGGAGAGGTCCTGCCTCCAGACTGCTCCTCATCCTTCTCTTCAGCTCCTCCTGAAACCTATCTAAGCTCCCTCTTCTAAGATGAAGATCCTGAAATAAAAGCCCCAAATTGTGTGAAGAAAATTGGGAGCATTTGAAGAATTTTTCTCAAGTTTTACTGGTTTATCTTTGGAATTGTATGAAGTGTTGTTAATGAAGTCAAGAATCATTCTGGAACTGTTTAGGGGATTCTGGGGCGGGGGGGCGATCAGGAAACATTCCTGCAGTCCAGTTAAAGTAATCATATTCTTTGGGAATCATCCCAATCACAGCATGAGCTATTGAATAATACAGTATTAATATCACTTTTAGGGCCGGCCGAGTGGCGCGATGGTTAAGAACTCGCTTGGGATGCCAGAGGGCCCCGGTTCGGATCCCACATATGAGGGCCAGTGACACTGCCCTCCACAGCTAAGATGCTGAGCAACAGCTCAACCTGGAGCTGGGCTGCCATGAGTCTCCGGCGACGGCGTAGGCTGCACTCCCTGTGGCAGTGGGTTGCCATGGGCTACCGTATGTAGCCAGCAGCCAGCGTGAGCGGCCAGCAGCCGCAGTGAGCGGCCATCCAGAAGCCGGCGACTGATCTGCCTCACCAGAGAAGAGCGCAATGATGGTGCCAACTTGGGCCAGTGAAGCAACATCCTCCACAACTAGATTGAAGAACAAAACGACAGCAACTTGTCTGTTCCCCTTCCCCCAATTCCCCAGCACTGTTCCCATCCCCCCAATTCCCCAATAAAAATCTTTAAAAAAAAAATCACTTTTAACTTGAAGATTCTATGATGTCTTGCCTTGAAAAGATTCTGCAAAGTATCATGCTTGCCTTTCCCCGTTCTTCCACCCCACATATGCCTCCTGCAGGCAGAAGCAAAATGGAGAGAATAAAATGTTTCTTTTCAAATAATATCTTCTTTGTTAATTAGTATTGGAATTTTTTTGGGGTAGCGAAATCAAAATTGATAGGGTCAGCTGTGGGAATGGGGGAAATAAAACCTTTTGGAAGCAACAATAGGTCTCGCATTATCTAATGAGAGTGCCTAACATGGATTCCGGTTTCTGGCCATTGTCCTTATCTGGATGTCTGACCTGCTCTCTGTTTGTTAGTTTTAAATCTTTTATATATAGTCTTGTTATGCTGTTGGTGAGATGCCATAGTTACTTAACTCTTGTTTCTATCAACTTGCCTGTGGTAAAATGGGTTTCATTATACATCATTTCACTTAAAATCACAGAGCCTATAGACAACGTTATGTGAGGTCTTCCTCTAATGCCTCTCTAGGTATCTACTGCTGAATAACACACTACCCCCCAAACTCAGTGTCCTAAAACAGCAAGTCTTTTATTATATATATCATGGTTTTGTAAGTCAGGAATCCAGGTAGGACTTGGTTGCATGTTCTCCGACTCCATGTGGCTTTGACAGAGGCCACCAGTGGTTCAGCTGGTGGGTGGACTGAACTAGAGGGTCCAAGGTGGCTTCCCTTACATGTCTGGTGCGTTGATGGCTCTAGCTAGAAGGCTGGGTTCCGCTGGGACAGTTGACTCAACTGTGTACACACAACTTCTCCAACATGATGGTTTCAGGGTAGTTGAATTTATTAAGACCAAGCTGCTGTCACAGAGTCCCCAAAATACAGTAGTGCGACCAAGATAAAAATTCATTCCTCTCTCACCTACCATTCTGGTCTAGTAAGCTGGCTCACATCTTCCGCTATAAAGTTTCACCTGTGGGTCCATGAGGACTGCGTCATCTGGTCATCTGCCGCCAGCAAGACAGGAGTCAGTGGGGGGGTGCACTCAGTTCTTTTAAAGACAAGCCTTTGAAAGGCCATGCCTCACAGGTCGCTCACACACCTTTATGCATGGCTAGTCTTAGTCACAAGGGAGGCTGGGAATAATTGCTCAGTTAAAAACATACAATAATAGAAGAAATTGTGGTAGATATTCAGCCACAGGTTTTTGAACTTCTGTCTTTCTCAGCAGCATTGCCTGGCAGAGTTGCTAATCCAGGATTCTGGCATTCCTGTGTGCCCAGCCTGATGTCTAACATCATCAAACATCTCAAGCTAAGCCCTTAGCAACGTTAACGAGAGGAGAGAAGCAGTGTCAGGCTTCAGGGAACAGCCCTACCTTCAGAGAGCTCACAGACGGAGATAGCAGATCAGTGAGCAGACAGATTCCATGTTGGGAACAAGGGGACAAGAGCACCTGCCAACTCTGGGGTCAGACTGAGAAACTGGCCCCCAGGAGGATTAGTGTGTGTGGACTTGGATTTGCAGAGAGTATAGGTGCTTTCCATGAGGCACAGACCTAGGCATAGTGGGGTGATCAGTGGGGTGCTCAGGGCCTCTAGAGCACAACACTGAGAGGCCAAGGGGAGGGCAACAAGGGTGGACAGGACACAGCAGCCACCAATACCTCTGGTTTCAGCCTTGGGAGGATGAACTTTCTCAGGGAGGGAGTTAGGAGCTGCTGAAGGTGCAGCACTGCTGCTTGTCTGTGTAGTACAGCCCTTGAGCTAAGAATGGCTTTTGCCCTTTTAAATGGTTGGGAAAGAACAAAGAAGAACATGGGCCAAAAGTATTTATTATCTCGCCCTTTACATGGACAGTCTGCTGACCTTTGAAGCAGTGACTCAAACAAATTAAAGCCTTTTCTCCTTCACCTAGCAGTCCAGGGAGCCTGCTCCAAGTCAGCCGGGGGCTCTCTTCTAATGATTCCTTCCATCTAGTGGTTCACCCATCACTTAGTTGCCTTCAATGAGTGGGAGGGGGAGGAGAACACGGGGTGGCCCAGAAGTGGCCTGCATCACTTTTGCTCATCATCGTCTGGCCTCACTTGGCTGCAATAAACAGAGGGAGACGGGGAAGTCTTCAAAGGAGAGAAAGCCTTTGTTCTAGGTGCAAATCACCCTTCGAGTGTCCTGGTGACTCACGACAAGTCCCAATGAGTAGGCACAGCAGCTGGGACAGACGTCTCCTGTGCTCAGAGGAGTCTGATGAGGGACACACATGAGGAAGGGGAAGGTGTGGCAGACACATGTCTGGCCATGGTCCCTCCTTAACCAAATTCCCCAACTAGTCTCTTAAAAAGACTTAATTAAAAAAATTGTAATTGTGGTAAAATACACGTAACATGAAATTTACCGTTGTAACCATTTAAAAAAAAAGATTTTATTGGAGAGTTGGGGGAGGGGAACAGCGTTGGGGAATTGGGGAAGGGGAACAGACAAGTTGCTGTCCTTTTGTTCTTCAGTCTAGTTGTGGAGGACGTCGCTTCACTGTCCCATGTTGGTGTTATCATTGCGCTCTTCCCGGGTGAGGCAGTTGCTCGCCAGTTGCATGCCAGCCCCACTGCAGCCTACACTGTTGCCAGTGACTCATGGCAGCCCAGCTCCAGGTCAAACTGTTGTTCACCATCTTAGCTGTAGAGGGCACAGCGTCATTGGCCCTCATGTGGGATCTGAACCGGGGCCCTGCTGCTCAGAGCTGGCATCCTAAGCCAACTCTTAACCAATGCGCCACTCAGCCGGTCCCCATTGTAACCATTTTTAAGTGCACAGTTCAGAGATGTTAAATACATTCACACTGTTGTACAATCATCACCATCATCCATCTCCAGAGCTCTTTGCATCTTGCAAAACTGAAACCCTGTCCCCATTAAATAACTTCCCATCCCCCACCCCCAGCCCCTGGCACCCACCATTCTACTTTCTGTCTCAAATCAGAGTATTTGTCCTTCTGTGACTAGTTTATTTCATTTAGCATAATGTCTTCAAGGTTCATCCATGTTATAGTGTGTGACAGGATTCTCTTTCTTTTAAGGCTGAATAATATTCCATATCACCTGGGTCAGCTTTAAAGATACCCTTGTCTAAGCTCCACCCTGGACCAAGTAAGTCAGACTCTCCGAGGGTGCGACAAAGGCATGGGGGATTTTTTGTTTGTTCTCTGTGTTCCTGGTGATTCTATTATGGCTGATGATCTGAAGCTTAGGGAGTGCATCCTTTCAAGTGCTGGTCTCCATGAAGGACTAAATCTGAGGCTTTATTGGTAAGATTATACTAAAGGGAGTGTTAAGTGTGGATTAATCTCCTCTTATTGAGGGCATTTGAACTAGAACAGATTAGTCTGTGGTTTAAGATAGTGCCAAGTTTATCAGGCACTGACAATACCCCATTCTAGGGTTTCTCAACCTTGGCACTACTGACATTTCAGATGAGATCACTATTTGCTGTGGGGGGCTGTCCTATGTAATGTAGGGTGTTGAGTAGAGTCCTTGGCCTCCACCCACAAGATGGCAGGGGCATCCTCTACCCCCTTGTAATGACCAAAAATATCTCTAGACATTAGGAATGTCCACTTGACATTCCACAAATGTCCACTCAGTCCACAAGATTACCCTGGACTGAGAATTCCTAAAGGATTATGAATTCACAGGCCTAATAAGGAGACAACAAATTAAAAAAACAAAGAATATAAAAACTGGATTGCAGATACTTTCAGAAACAGGGTATTAGAACTGTCATTCAAGAAATGTAAATAAGCATAAGAAACATAAGAAATTAGCCAAATTAGCCACATGAAATAAGAATAAAAATTCAAAAACATAAACACAATTGAATATTGGCATATATATATGTATACACACATATACACACACATTAGGTGAAATAAAGAACATAGCAAGTGGGACATATGATAGAAAAACAAACTAGAGAGGTGAACACAATATGGGGGACTCTTCCAGGAGCAAGAAGGTGTAAAGAATCTAGAGAAACAATAGGATTCGTGAGTTAATAGGATTCCCCAAAAGAGGAGAAAATAAAAATGGAAAGGAGGAAATATTCTAAGAAATAATGATGAGAGTGTTCCCATGTGCCCTTTACCCAGCTTCCCCTAGTGATTACCTCACATAACCCTCGTAAAATGGTCAACACCAGCCAGACAACAATGGCACTATTACCTGTTGGCAGCTCAGCAGCTGCTCAGCTTGGGCTGGGACTCGAACCGCTGT